GGGGGAGGGGGAGCCGGGTACCCTTTGGCACTCTTGTGCGACATTTGACTCGAGTCAATTAAATTCGATTTGTGTTATATTTGGCATATTCTCCATAGTTTATTTAACGAATCTTTTGTTTATTTGCACGAGCCACGCCAAGTGGAGGGGGGGGGAAGCCAGAAGCCCGTAAAAGGGGGTTAACAAATGCAATCTCTTTCGTTTATTCTAGTTAAGTGCATTTGGCAAAGAACAAATATTTTTTAGCTGGAAAATCAATTTCGAGCTCTTTTCACTAACAACAAATTGTGTGCTGCACATTTTTCTGAAAATTGCGAATCAATTTGGACATTTATTTATTTATTTTTTTGTTTAACAATGTTTGCTTTGTGCTTGAAGCCATTGAAAACTTGGTAACAAGTTAGCTAACCACTTTTTAAGCAGAAAAGCTTTGAAGTTTAAAGAGCGATTTCTTCAAAAAAGAAAATTCAGTTTTCTAGAGAAAAATGTAAAGTTTTGCTAATGGAGATTAGTATGCATATAAAATATGCAAGTTAAAATTTTCTGTAGAAATTCTTAAGTTTTTACTATAGTTCATGTTCTTTGTTCTTTATTTTTATACCCAGAATCCATTGAAAATGTGTAAAAAGGTTTTGTGTAAATATATGTAACACGCAGAAGAGAAGTATACTATATATATATATATTCTTGGTCAGTAGGTCTTGGCCAATAGCATAGTTGATCTAGGCATGTCTGTCTGTCTGTCTGTCTGTCTGTCTGTCTGTTCGTCTGTCTGTTCGTCTGTCTGTTCGTCTGTATGAATGTAGGTCCCACTAGTGCGCGTGCAGTACGAGTTTCTCTGCAAGTATCGATAGTTAATCACGTTTCCATGAAATTAATAAGAAACAATATCGAATTTCTGTTTTTGGAGCATATCTTGGCGCTTATAAGCGCTATAGATAGTAAGTTTGGCATGGGAAATCTCGAATAGTGCACAGTTTCTGAATATTTTACTTTTTGAACAGCTTTTGATCAACCTAATTGAACAAAAACACAATTTTAGAGGCATACTTTTAGTTTAAAATCTGCCCCCTTTTTGGGCAATAATTAAATGTTTTCTTTGACCTATGGCAAAAAAAAAAAAAAAAAAAAAATACTTTTAGTACTTAGTATTTACACTTATTGACTTGACATACAAAATAATTGAATACAACAAAATTTTCATTTGGATTTCATATATAAACATTGTAGCTTTTTCACATTGACCTTTGGTTTTTACACAAATTTGTTGTGTCATTTCACTACTATAAAACTGCCGTCTCAATTTTGAATGCAATCAGAGTCTAGTTTATCTTCCAGTCAGTTGATAACTCCTCACAGATTACAGGATATCTGCTAGTCCGGCACTATTACACAGCATGAGGACTGTTCGTTTTGCACATAACTATAACTGATTCTATCTAAAAATTCGAATTGTTCTACAAAATTTGGCATTTCAGTTAACAAATCACGTTCTTGAGTTATCGCTCCTTCTAAAAGTGTTTATTATCGCCAACTCTCTCTCTCTCTCTCCCTCTCTGTCAGTCTTTGGCCACATATCACTTAGCTGCTGCAGTTTGGGCCATAAAACACAAGCGGCAAATGTTTCCTCAATAGCCCCTTTTGGCTGCAAAATTATGTTAAAGTGTTTAAGCATCCGTTGGAGCAGGGCACTCGCCACGAGAAAGGCCAAGGGGGGGAGGGGCAGGCAAGGACCAGTTGGCACTTGTGTATCGATGTTTTGTCCACAGACCGAAAAAGCAACCACACCCAGGACAGGAGAGGGCAGGTCGGAGCAGGGCGGAGCTCATGTACATTCAGCTGGCAACAGTTACAAGCGACGTCGTGTTGTCGCCTGTTGTCGTTCATTGTTTGTTGCTCTGCTTCCTGCCGCCATTTGATGCTTCCGGCCTGCCATTCGTCTCTGGCCCAAAGTGCAACCGACAAAAGCAGCAACAACAATAACAACAAAGAGAGCGCCACAACATGAACCATATTGGCCCAGATGCAATTGCCAGTTACCTGCAATCATTATTCCAGGCAACCAGCAACAGAGAGAGAGAAGAGAGAGAGAGAGAGAGAGAGAGAGAGAGAGAGTGGGATAGGGAGAGAGAAAGAGAGAGGGAAACTATAATAGCTGCAGTTGGCAAATTTGTCATGCAGATTTGTAAAGCCCTCAAAATTCCAAACATAATACAAGATTTTGAAGGATTAACTTGTGATTTTATAGATGATAATATAAGTACTAATGATAAACTACCACTGCTTTTTCCTAGAATCTACTTGTTAATCGAAATCTGAAGTTGTTCCGAAACTGTGACACATTTCGGCACAGCATTTCAATTCTTCTATTCTATTTAACACCCTGGCATCAACAATATAGCGTTTAGGAGTATATATCCTCAGTATTGATTGTATTTATATATCATACAATATTACTATATATCATATATCTTCTTCGGGGGGCCTTCGCCCTGACTTTCCCTCCATATGTTTCTATGCAAACTAATTCCTTAGTTTAAGAACTCTCTTGATAAAACTTTGCATCGTAAAAATGTCACATCTGGAAATATAACACAAATCAGATCAGGAGGGTATTCAAGCATTTGCACCCCGAAGATGGCTCCTCTTTTTATTGTTTGTTCCTTTAACATATCTAATTTTAAATTTTCAAAATATTTCACAGACCAATTCCATAGGATTTTCGAAAATAATGTACTATAGATTTAAAACATAATACAATGTGCTTGAAAAGCCTTCAATAATATTTTTTTAATCTCTAACTTCAGAGCATTCCATATAAACTTATTGTACTCAGAATACCTCATTTAAGAGTAAAATTTTATACGAATTCTGAAAATAATTCACTTCAAAAAGTTCCAGATACACTTTTCTAGCTCAAATTTCCGATAACTCATTTTAAAGTAAACGAATTCTAAGGGATTTTTGATAACGTATCTACAGTTCAAAAAAATAAAAATGCCCTTTCTTTGGAGTTCCAATTTCCAAGCATTCCTCGTTAGCGTATTGTACAGAAAATGCTTTATTTTAAAGTAAAAGATTTCTGCAAATCAATTTTAGAGGATTTTCGAAAAATAATAATGCACTTTTATTAAGTTTCAATTACCGAGCATTCCGAGTTAGTTTACGTCTCTCACATATCTTTTTCTCTTTTATTGCCTTTTGTCCAGGATCTGTCGCGTGGCATTTGGCTAAATGGGATTAACGGGCGACACCAATGTCAATGTCAGTGGCGCGAGCTGCTTAAGTGCTTAACTGCCAGCCGAGTAAGTTGTCCGTTTACAAGAGTCGCCCCTCTACCCTCCGCCCACCCGCCCTCTACCCGTGCCATGGCGCGTGGCTTGTGGTTCATGTCAATCGACAGGTAAAGCTACACGTGCAAACGCTTGAATGCCAAGTGCCGTTTTGGCGGATGCAGGCGCGCCACTAACTACACTCAGCGAAAAAGGCGAGTACTTGGGTGAATGTGTCGAAACTGAGAACAAAATTCCTATTTGCTGAACTTTGTTTACAGCAATCTCTAAATACAAGTATTTAATATAGTTAAGTTAGCAAATGGTTTAAATACAAATTTTGTACATAATCCAAGCTTGTTTCTCCTTTTATTTATTTTTGTAAGTCAAGAAAAGTCTTGTAAAAAGTATTCTGTACTTAATTCAAACAATTTGTTTACCTGTTTTTTAAGAGTGTATAATAAAATCGAGAGGAAATATCGTGGAAAGAATTCTGCTTGATATTCAAATAACAAAATGTTAAAAAATCTCTTTCTATAATTTACAACAAAATTTTCTCTGAGTGTAGTAGAAGGTTAGCGCGAAGGGGCGCACTTGAGCCTGACGCATCTTGGCGTGGCATCGCCTCTGTTGCACATAGCTGTTGCACACACACACACACAGACAGAGACACACACAGACACTCGAGAGCAGCCGCAACAGTTGCACCGTGGTCTGAGAGCACTTTAAAATGCGTTGCACCGCATGCCCCGCGATTTGTCAGTTCTCATTAGTATAAAGTCGCAAGCATAAGCACTCGAATTTGGCCAGAACAAGAAGAAGAACCAGAAGCAGAACGAGAATGGAAATGGAAATGGGGATGGGAATGAGTGGCAGAACGAAAACGAGAGCCGGACAACGGATGACATGCAAGCATCGCATTTGACCCAATTGTTAGTTTTTCGGTCGCCTTTTGTTGCCTTGGCCACAACACACGCTAAGAATAAATTATCATGCCACTGGATGATGCATCAGCCTTGAGTTACGTTTTTTCCTCTTTTCACTCTCTTCTTGGTGGCAAGTTTTGCCACAAAAAAAAAACGCCATGTGCTTACACAAATTGAGTAGAGAACAATAAATTAGGAATTGATTTTTCTTGTTGTTTTATTTTCAAAACTTGTCAGAAACTGACTTCAGTAAAACTTTACCATACAAAGTTTAAGGCAATAGTTTGAACTTTTTTCTTGTAATAACTATTAAATGCCATAATAAAATCTCTAATGACGATAAATACCCATGGTAAAGCACCTCATCGATTTAATGGAAAACTTTACCAAAGCTAAGTAAAACAATTAAATAATTATCATTTCACATACCGTCTCCACCTTATCCCATTTAATTTTTTTTACAAACATTTCCTAATGGAGAGCCATAAAACCTGCAATACACACCACTGTGCAGGGCCTAAAATAATTGAGCCTGTATGCAGTTGCTCTATCGAAAAAAGAAATGTATGTAAAAGGAAAACAACTTTAAAGAACTCAAGTGCTCTTTGCGACTCGCAACTGATAAAGAAATTCCATTTATGTAGGTACACAAAAGATGATATTGTTTTCTTTTTGAGAAAGGGGAACGCACAGCGACTTCCTGAGCGAAAGTTCTGAGTGTGTGCATAAACAAACAGAAGAAAAATACAAAAAAATATGATTGCATTTGTTATTGTTATAAATTGTTGTAAATTGCACTTACCGAGTAGCAAAAGTTTAATGTCCTTTGCCGCTTGGATGCCATCCTCCTTCAGGTTCTTCTCGATTTGTTTGGAACGTTGTATGGCAGCGCGCTCTTCAGCCGATGTAGTGCAGCCCATTTTGTTGACTTTGTTTTTTTTTTTTTTTGTTTTTTTGTGGCTTTGGCAGCACTTGTCAGTTAAAGTTTGGTGGAATTTTCTTTAGATGGCTGCTTTTTAGTTATTGATGATTTGATTTGATTTGTTTGATTATACTTTTATCTTATTTACAAAATGCTTAAAATTACAATATACACACTGAAATATAATGGAATATGTGGTTATTTTTTTTGTATATGTATGTAATATTCTTCTTTTTTTTATTTTTTTTATTTGTTGTCTAGGGAAATGGCAGCCGAGCGCGCAGCATCCAATTGGATTTTTATGCATAAACAATAACAACTGACCGTTCAGCCGTTCTGACACGGGAAGTGACAGCAACAACAACAACAACAACAACTCAATGAGCAATGAGTCACACACACACACACACACGCGCGCGCTCACATACGCAGACGCAGGCACGCACCGGCATTGAGATAACAGTGTTGCCTACTTGACAAGTGCACCTAATTTTATGGCCGCCACTGTCTTGCCGTCCAATAGGGCGCGCGCTGCTATAATTGAACTGCGCTTTTGTTGTTGTTGTTCTTCTTGCTGTGTTTTGTTATCAGCGACAAAAAACAACAACAAGAGCAAGCAGCAGCAGCAGGAACTGCTCTAGCCAATTTACATATGGCTTGAATGGAAAATATGTAATATAACACACATATTCATCAATTCCATTTATCTAATCAGAAAATGCTATCGAAAATGACTAAAAGAATGCAAGAGGAAAAAATGTACGCCTTTTTGGCAATTTATCATGTAGTGTTTTTTTTTTTGGGGAAATATTGTGCATGGTGTGGCCAGGTCCTGCGTTTTTCTCTATATGTATGTGTGTGTGTGTTTGTGTGGAAGGCGTGGGCGTAGACGCAATAGATGTGTTAAACGGGTCGTTGTGCCGGCTAAGACGGCGCGTGGTCACTCTGGAGACTGGAGACGATCTGCCAGTCGCCGTTTCGATTTTCATTGATGCTGCGATTTGTGTAACTTTTAGAAACGTTTAGTTTTTTATGCGGCTTTTGCGTGGGTGCGTCGCGTTTAGGTTTTAGTTGGGCGGCTGGGTGGTTGCTTGGGTGGTGTTTGGGGCGCTTGTATAAATTTCCATTTAGTAGTTTCATGCCGCGCTGCTCACTCGCTCACGCTCGCACTCTCACGCACACGCACTCTGCACACACACACACACACACATATACACATTCTCCCACCCACCGCCAGGGCGGGCAGCGTGAGCGCAATTTTCTTCGTTTCGTTTTTTTTCGGCTTTACATTTTACCACCGCCTAGTTTCCAGCGCCAGCGTATACACACAACACTTGCACACACGAGCTGAGCAGAGCAGAGCAGCGCAGCGCGCAGCACAGAGGCCACCCTCTTCTTCGCCCGTCGCTTTTTAGCTTTTCAGGTTCTATTTTCTTTGATTGCTTTTGCACATTTGGCAACACATTATCTTCACCATTACCCGTTGCACAATGTTTAGCACTTGCACTTTGTTTTAAATTTGCATTAATTCTAATTTAATTGGAATATTTCGGGTGTGCAAAAACTTGTAACACACTTTTGCTGCCTCTCGCTGTCTCTTTCAAACTGATTCTGGCATTGCCAGACCATCAGGTCCATGCACTTTGTTTACATTTGGTGTACTGTATGTGGCAACGCTCTGAGTTTAACAGACTGTAAAGTGTGCAGCTTGCAACGATTGTCGTTTGCGCACAGTTGAATTCAAATGCGACCAACAGTGCGCAGTTTTTTCATGCATGACTAAAATTAGCTACTGTTGTTAAATTTGTACATCTAACTGCGTTTACTAATTAACGTAAAGCAGAGTTCTTAGCTTATAATTGAATTCCAGCTGCCTATAACATTTTGGTAATGTAAAAGTTGGTCACGCTGTTAGATCGCTGTTATTTCTTAACAGTTGCATACATTTTTACAGCCCTGACTTCGAACAGCTGTTTTTATTTGCGTGCTTTGTAACTGTGGACAGATAAATAAAATGTTGCGTCAACTTTTGGCAAGTATTCAGCTTAACTAGTCTTAAAGGCTTTACTAAATTGCTGCATTAGTGCTCCACAGCTGCGCGCCGTCTGCTGCTGCCGTTGGCCACACCCAAACGCTGTCTGAGCAGCAAACCAAATGGTCTCGACAAAAGCGAGTACTCAACGCCCCCCGAGGTGATTGACTACGAGGATCCGGAAGGTTTGCCGGTGCCGGAGTATCCAATGCGACCCGACGAGCCGCTCGCGACACGCAAGCAGCGGTGGGTACCCACTGATATTAATAAAACATAATTTATTGAGTTGGATCCATTTTCTAGGCTTTTGTATCAGTCGCGCAAACGCGGCATGTTGGAAAATGATCTGCTGCTGAGCACCTTTGTGGCGAAGTATCTGAAGGATTTCGACGAGGATGAAACCGCGCTGTACGATAAGCTCATCAATGGGGTTAGCAACGATTGGGATATCTATTATTGGGCAACAGAAACAAAGCCCACGCCGCCCGAATATGATACGGATATTATGAAATTGTTGAAGCAGCATGTCAAGAATACGGAACGTGTGCAGCGCATTAGGCAGCCGGATTTGTAGACTAGTATTATATAATAATGTAAATTGTATGTTAGATAATGCAAGTGCTTGTTAATAGTATGTTTTTCTGTGCTTTAACCAATATGAAATAAATTTAAATTAACAGGTTTGAGTCCTGTTAACTTTAACAGCTGTTGCAATGTTAACGCAGATCGAAAGGAGTAAAAATGCACTTGTTTTTAGTTTTCTTGAAATACACATATGTTTACATGTATATATGCATACGTATTTGTATATTTAAACGATGTCAGTTGTATATGCTTATCGATTAAGTTTTAGTTGCTACTACAGCGAAATATTACACTTAAAACTTTTGCTCTTATGAAAAATTCATCGAAATTTGTTTTTAAATTTTTTGCACCCAAATATAAACTGGGGCTCAGATCCGGTAGTGTTCACATCTCGTATTAAGTATAATGAATTTTAGTTTATTTGAATTGTTCACAATGTTTCAGTTAGCTATATATTTTTTTTCAGATTGCATTTGATTTAAGCGATTAAATTGTTGTAAACTCTAGTTTAAAGTTAAATGAACGTACAGCTTTTAAATATGCTAAAGAGTTGCGTTGGTATTTAAGAAACTATTTTGGTGTTATCTCTCGTTAGCAGCATTGCGCTTCAGTAATTAAAACAATAAACAATACGCACGCAAAATCATGTTTGCCAGTTAGTTTCAGAGGGGAGCGTGGCGCAGCACGGCAACTATATTGTTGAATTATACATAAGAATAATATTACACAAACTGTTTGCTTTAGACTTACAACCGAAAGGCTAATTTTATAAAAATATTTTGTAAGACGTTATTAAAATCTTGCTAAATCAATAGGCCAAAAGACACACACAATCGCCAAAGAATTTCGCCTGCATTAGTTATCATAAATTTAAACCATTAAAAGAAGGGCATTAAATAGCCGCATTGACGCGTGTAAAATATGTGAAGTAACAACAGAATTAACCTACTACACATTACAGATTACAGTTCGTTTATAATCTTAATCTAGTCGAGCGTTTCAAAGAAGTCGTGCCGATCCACAAATAGCGCCGGGCTGCTGCCACTGCTCATGGCCGATGATGAAGCTGCTGATGCCGCTGCGGATGCCGATACGGATGCCGACGCTGTTGCCGTTGCTGATGCTGTTGCTGCTGCTGCTGCCGCCGCCGCCGCCGCAGCTGCAGCTGCTGCCGTAGCCGTTGCTGTTGCTGATGATGCGGAACCGACGCCCCTATGTCGACCACGACGTGCTGTGCCTGAATTGCCGCCGCGTATACTGGTGGCAGTCAAGACGGGATCGTAGGTTCTAGTTGAGTTCGCCTCGCTGCTCGATATGGACGATTTGCGGCGACGCTTGTTGCGCCGACGACGCCGCCGTTTGGTGGTTTGCACGGCGGCCGTCGATGTGGAGGGTACGCTGCCCAGCGGTTCGGTTAGCACGCTGGTGCGCGGCAGAGTCAGCGTGGTCTCGAACATCTTCAGCAGCGTCGGCGAACTGGGTCAATTTTGCGGGAACACATCGTCGATGGTAATGAAAGCATCCTCGCCCAGCGAATGCTGTCCAATTATCTTCAATAGCTCCGCCGCATGCGCCACCAAATACTCGAGCGGTGGCCGGCGCTCAAAATTGAGCGACTCTGTGGGTTATACAAAGAAGTATTTAGTAAAAGTTGGATTGCAAATACTCCAGGCCTACCTAATATGGCTGAGTTGAGCGTGGTGGAAACGTTCTCACGTCGCGAGGGACACAGTAGCCAGCCCAAGGGACTGGACCAAGGATTTGAGTAGGCAATCAAGCTAAATGCATCCTGTTTACAGATAATATAAATATAAATAATCACATATAGTTAGTTTATATTTATTGCGCGGCACCTCCAACATTTGACGCTCCTCTTCAGTCATGAGGTTCTCCTTCTCTAGCTGCTGGCCCATGCTGGACAATTCCTTGCCGAATTCTAAGATCTTCTCAATGACACGTCCATAATTGCGCGATGAGGGCGACACGTCCACATCTGTAAAAATGATAGAAATTATATAAATTGTTTATAGGCTTTGCAGCTGTTCCCATACCCATTTCCTCATCGATGGCATCTAGAGAGTTACGTGCTACGCTGGCATTGCCATTAGAACAGGAATCGCCTGAATAAGTGCATATATAGTGTATGAATATACATTTCAATATGTTTCCTTTTCAATAATTACTTAATTAATGCTATGAAACTCACGATATCTTCGTTCTACTTTTTGCTAAATTACAACTTGAGCTCTTCTTACCCGTCAGAAATGGATATTAGTTCGTCTTCTTGCATATTTGTATATATAGTATATAGTATATATAGTATGTAGACCGAAAAGAGTTTTCTTCTTGAACACGTAATTCTTGAACCGCGCCGAGTCTTCTTAAAAATATAGCATGCATAACAAATCCCGAACCCTATTCCCTCCAGTTTTTCTTGAATTAAATTTAGGCATAATAATTCATTTTCGACTATGGCAGCTTCTTCTTGAATTCTTGAACCACATTTGACTAAGTTTTTTTGTGTGCCACGTCTTCTTCTTGAATATATAGTTTCCACACGAATTCTTCTTTTTTTACAACAGTTTCGCATCGAGCTTGAATCTGCCTTAAATCAGTTGAAAATTCATGCCTTAATTATTTAAAATATCTTAGTTGTATAAAAGTATTATGATATATGCTCAAACCATGTCTGCCCAAGTTCTTCGAGAGTTTTTCTACGTATACAAACGATTTTGTGAACCATTTGTTAGCCATACCATAATAAAATGTTTTTTCTTATAGATAGTTTAATATTTAAGCTATTCTCGAAAAAGTTGCAAACCTCAAATTAGAAAATAGCTTTAGATTACGTTTGAACATTCCTAATCAGTTTTAAGTCGAACCTGAGTGGATTTTTAAGCTTTCGAATTATAATATAGGTAAATATTCGCCTCCTTTTATGGAATTCATACTGAGCGGGTTTTATGATAGAATGTATAAATAATTGTTCTAAAAACTGAAACGCACCATTGGAGTGACTGTTGCAAGGTTCCATTTCCACGTCCATGCTATTTGAATCGTGCTCCGGACACTTGTTGGAGTTGTCATCAATAATCATGCTGAAAATGCGACAAGAATTTAGAATACAAAGAAATCAAATAGTTATATTTGTGGTACAAACATTTTGGGATCTGTTTTATCGCCGGGTTTTATCACAGCTGAGTTCGCAGTGTTGTTTTGTGGCTGGTTGTTGGTGCTGCCGCTGCCGGTGCCGGTTCCGGAGCCGCCGGATTTGCTGTGCTTGAATGCCTTGGTCGACTGTATGACCGAGGTTTGATTTGTGGGCATGGTCTGTGTGGTGGCGGTTACTTTGTTATTGGCGTGCTGTAAATGAATTGACAACGCGTTAACTTTATATTTGCTGGAAACAATTGAGAAACTCACCTCAATATCAGCGCCATTTATCATCTCAATGAATTGGCGGCACTTAAGTGCAAACCAAAGATTTTTATTGTTCTCCAAGAGGCCCGGATAGGAGCGCAGTGTATTCTCAATGGCCTGGCTCATTTTGCCTGTCTGTATGAGCTTGATTATCTCTGAAAGCAGCGGGAAGAGATGTTAAAATAACATTTCGATTGATGATAAGGACGACATATGCTGCTGTTTATGTTGATCGGATAATAAAATAAATAAAACAGACGGACGTAAGGAAAGTTTAAAAGTAAGAGTTTGTCTCGCATAGAGACATATTTACAAACGGACAACACCTGATCAAGAATATATAACCAGAATCTATCGGGTAAGAGTATTCTCTACATGAAACATTTCGTGATAAAGTAAATTGTACACACTTTGACGTGTTTTGATGGAGGCCAAGTCCTCGTCGAAGGGCTGACTTGTGTAGCCATTAAAAGCCTCAGCCGTCTTGCAATAGCCACTGTGCACCAGATAAGTGGAGACAAGCCTGTTGAAAGCGTGGAGCATTAGTTTTTTTTTTGCCAATTGAAAGTATTTAAATGCTTACCTGTTCATTAGGTTTTCGGGCGTTTCCAGCAAATGGGGATATCTGTCGACTTTGCGCAATATATTGACGCGCATATCCCGCATCATTTCCTCAATTTTATCAAATTTAAAAGGCTCCTGACCAAAATTAGCATCCACCTCCTCGCCGGGCGTTTGCAAACCCACCGTCGGATAGAGTTTGGTCTGTGTGGACAAATTTCGAGTTAATCCAATTCGATTTGAATGATAATTATAGTAATAAGTACGCACCGGCAAATCTCTAAATGCAATGCCCAGATCGACGCCGTTCTTGGTGTAGAAACAAGTGTTGTTCACAAAATTAACGCAACAGCCAATTACATCGCCGGTGGTAAAGGTGGGCCCATACGACTGGCCATTGCACGAGGAGCTAAACGAGTTGCCGTCGTAGCCGTGATAGCCATACGATTGCTTGTCCCCACCTACTTGAGAGAAGTGCAGAAGAACAGTGGGTATGGCATATGAGTTCTTCGCTTCTCACAATACGCACCTGGCAGGCGATTCATGCGAAACTGCTGGGCGGTCAGTCCGATGCCCATGTAACCGTTGCGGCCCTTGGAAATGATGCGCACCTCAAAGTAGTAGAGGCCACAGGACGATGGTATCGGGTATGCGGTGCGCACAGAGCCTGCTGCCTCGCTGTGTTGCTTGCCCACGCCTGTAAGCAGAGTATACACGAGAAGTACAGTAAACACACGCTAGGTGAACAATTACTTAATATTATAATACATTATTATCTGATAAGCCTGCTCATACATTATGCATTTCTTTACAATTTTACCAAATTAATAAATTTGTTCATATTATGCTAGTTCATTATAATGAGCGCGCACTGTTATTGCTACACCTCGTTTCTCGCTCCCACAGCGACTTGCAAGTGTGTGCAGCCAATCAGCTGTTTGCCAACCACGCACACAAGCGCAGGTCAGCACGCGAATAAGCGTGTGAGAAGTGGGCGCCAAAAAACAAAACAGCAGCCATTACAGTTGCGCAAGTGCGAGCGAGTCAACAGCTGTGCCTGCATTCCGTGGGGTCGCCACACAAAGCAGCGCGTTGGCGTTTTGTACCAAAAATGGCAGCTTGAGCAGCTGTTGTTGCTGTCTGTTATGCGAGTAAGAGGAAGCAGCACTGGCAGCTCAATATAATATAATTTTAAAGTTTATCAACATAAGAAGCTTTAATTGTGTGCACTGTAAGAAATATGTAAAGCTAATGTTGTATGTAATTAGTTGAAGAAATGCTTTTCGTTTTCTAACTTTTGCTCGTTGTGCATATAACCTTATTTAATGCTATCTCTATGTATATATATGTACAAAATATTTCTAACGTTCTGCTTGCTCTGATGACTCACTTTTAGGAAGTTGTCGCGAACTAGATAACCTATAATTAAAAACAATTAAACTCTTAACAGCCTTTTAACATTTGAATTTTATGTTAACTATCTGTAATAGGCCTGCAAATTTGGGAACTCAACAGATAAAAGGAATATATTGATATAAAGAACTTTGAAATTGAGATTTTAGAGCAGATCAAAGCTGTGTTTAAGCTAGTCAATATATAAAACTGATTAATTTGATTCACTGAAAGCCTAACACGTAGAAGCTAGACAGTCGAACATTAAATAGATTAAATCTTATTCCTTCGAATATTTTTGACCTTTGTATTATTCATTATATCTGCCCGAAATATTCGAAGTAATTATTAATTATGTATTATATCTGCCCTATTTGAGAAATATGTGTGTGCATTTTAAATAAAGCTCCTTCAATGTTGGAAAATGGAAGGAAAACTTATTTTAAATTTGTATAAAAAATACTTTGCCTGGGCAGATGAATGCTACTTTCGAGTGTATAATACAAATTAACATATTAGTATTAAACTGTGCCCTATAATATAAATATAACACAAGCTGGAGAGATAGATACCTAGAATATTTCCTAACCTGTTTCTTAGTTTCTTTTTTCTGCTGAAGCTAAAATGTGGCTTAAAGAAAGTTCTTGGGAACAGTTTAAATAGTACAATTAAAGAGCTTAAAGACAATTTGTGGCAGGAAAATAAAAGTAAATAAATAAATACATTTATAGAATTTCTAGAGAGCCTGAATAGATATAAGCTGGGTTTGAATAGGTTCATATATAAGAGATGGATGGGAATAGATCTGTACTATAAGAATTGCTGAGAAGAAAGATAAAAGCTGAACTCAAGCACTTGGTAGATAAATTATATTAGAATATAAGATTCTCCTACATTAATATATTCTCCTATATGTACATATATTATTCTCCTAGGTAAACCCAACTTAATGACAATGCATCTATCTGTGCCCGAGTTCAGAATAGATCTATATAGTATAATCAACGCATAGAAGAAAGACTTCTCAAGCACTTGATAGATAAATTATATTAGAATATAAGATTCTCGTATATGTATGTTATTCTCCTAGATAAAACCCAGCTGAATTAACATAATGACAATGCATCTATCTGTGCATCTTGAAGCTGTATTCTACTGCATTGTTGTCAACTCACCTTTGTAGGTGACACGCAGATTGTTGTGCGAGAGTCCAATGGTCAGGCACTTGTCGTGGGGACTCCAGCAGCGCGGCAGCGGCGTCTCGTTCTCGTTCACATTGGGATAGAGGAGACGCAGCGGATCGACGCCCTGATGCGATTGGTTCGCATTGCGTCCGCCCGCTGCACCGCCAGCTGCTGCTCCCCCGCTGCTGGTGCCGCTGGCCAAGCGGGGCGAGCTGTGGCTGTGGCTCTGGCTGGTTCCTTTGTGGCCGCCGGCGTACATGTCGTTGCTGAAGTGGCTGCCGTTGTTGCTGTAAAAGTGACGCGTGCGTCGCGAGCTGGAGGCGCCGCTGCTGCTGTTGTTGTTGTTGTTATTATTGTTGTTGCTATTGTTGTTGTTGTTGTTGTTGCTGTTGTGATGGCTGCGCGGCGCACGCAGTAGCGGTGGCAGTGGGGCACGCGCCGTGGAATAGCTCGGCAAAACGGCCACAGAATGCAGACGCTGCTGGCTACTGGCTGCGGTGGCGGCTGCTACGGCAGCGGCTGGTGGCGGTGTTCCTGCTGCTGCAGCGGCTGCGTCTGCGGCGACAGCGTCAGCGTCGGCCTCCTCCTCCTCGACCACCTCCTCCTCCGCTTCGAGGTCGTCGTCACCTTCGTCCTCGTCGTCGTAATCGTCAATGCGCTCCACGACGGCGTCGTTATCGTTGTCTATGGCGCCCGCGTCAATCGTGTCGGCAATGACGTCCGCGTCGATTATCTCCGGCTCCCGCTGCTGCTGCTGTGGCTCGTTATCCTCCCGTTGCTGCTGCTGCTGTTCCTCGCCCTGCCCGTGCTCCTGTTCTGCCTCGACGCGTGCTTCGTCTGCCTGTGGTGTTTGCTGTAGAGTAGGAGTAGGTGAATGTTCATGTTCAGCTTCAGTTTGTTCTTGTATTGTGTTTGTTGCGGCCTGCTCAGCCTCTATGTTAAATAACAGGGCTGCAGCTGAGCTGCTGGCTGCAGTTGCATTAACAGCAGCTGTTGCTGTTGTTGTGGCCTCTGCCTGTAAATTGCTGTTGTTGCTGCTGCTGCTGCTGCTCGCGTTGCTGTTTTCCGTGGATAAATTCGGATTATGCTCATTGTCGTTATCGTTATCGGCATGCTCGAAATCCATGTTTCTTTTTATTTATTGTTTTTGCTGTTTGCTGTTGTTGTTGTACTCTGAGAGAGATTTTTTGGAAGAAGCAATTAAAAGCGAAGAACTGAAACACATATGTATGTATGTATGCTGACTGTGTGGGTGTGCGTATGTGTGTGCGGGACAGGGTGGAATGAAGTGGAGGGTAAATGCAGGTGCAAAGCAGCAAATAACAAACACAGCAACAACATGGCATCCTGCAACTGTATGCGTGCGCGTGTGTATGCATTTAGAACAAATGTCCTTTTGTCGGTCCCCCCGCCACCCGTCGTTAGCAGAGAAATTATGTGCAGCAACAATTTTGTGAGACAGCAACAACAGCAATAACAGCAGTTTACAGTTTTTCGACGCGCAGCTGCAGGCAGCAACAAACACAACAACAACAATAACAGAGGCAGAGGCAGCAGCAGCAGCTGCAGCTGCAGCCACCAACAACATCTTAACTACAACTACATGCAGCTATGCAATAAAAATAAAATCAATAACCAACTTTTTACACTGTTGCGTTTTAGCCAAAGTACACTTCGCTTTTGTAACTGTTAACAAAATGCGTTTCAAATGCGTTTTTACGTCGTTCTTTTTTGAAGTTTTCTTTGTTTTCCCCCTAGCAGCAGCAGCAGCCAGTCACAGTTCACACACACAGGCGCACGACATATACACTAAACACACACACAAACACATACACACGCAAAACATATGTACACGCACGCACACACTCATGCATACAGAAAAAATTTGCTGGTGGCCAAATAAATGCATTGCAAATGATGAGGTCTGTGTTTTTGGTCTGCTTGTGATATTGTTGTTAATATGCTATTTTGGTTAACTGACTGCATGAATTAAACAGTTAATTTCGTTACCTTTACGAAAGTTCAGTGCACTTTAAAATCACACAAATGACTTTTTGTTTAAGATTTTTACCTCGAATAGAGCGCAGTGTGACCGGGTCTTCTAACTGTTTGGCAATTTATGTTACTGCTAATGCTATGCCAATGCACTGTAAAAGGCGGTGCACCTGTTAAGTGTAGCCATTCGCCACGAACTTAACATAGCTGTTATCGATAAGGCGCGCAGAGAGCGCTGCTTTAAATGTTAACAGTATAGGCAAAATTAAAATAGATGTTGTACGTGTACGTGTACGTGCCACAGCTTGCTTTGCTTTAAAATATGAAATGCAATATTTTCAAACAGCTGAATACCCTGTATACGGTCGCTACGTGTGACCGTCCCCTCCCCCCGCCCGTTACCTACTCAGAATTCTGGTTCTTATCTACGGCTACGACCTACGTAAACGCTGTGCATACAAATATGTCTATGGCCTGTTTTTTTTTTATTTTGTTGACAAACACATTTACTAATCACTAATGCGATGGAAAATTACCAGAGAATTTCAAATGAACCTAGCGCTATTGCGTTGTAGATTTTAAAAACTGTGAAATGGAAAAATTGGATTTCACTTTATCAAGGGCATAGACTGTACTGGATTTTTACGTAAGCACGTGTACAGTTGTTTTTATTGAATAAAGCACAAGTAATCCGCTTTCAAATTTACTTTTATTTAGGTAATCCACATCCTGCAGTAGTTCTAAACAGGGGCTTAAGACTGGGTTGCCTTTTTTAGTAGATCTCTAAAATTCATCCTTACTGTCTGACGGCTCTACACTGTCTGACTAGCTCAACAGTTGGTTAGCCGTAACGAACCGAGTGTTCCTACACATATTTGTCGCAGAGCACCAGATGAGCTTAAATTTGCATTAGTGTTGGTGTTTTCCATGCAGCACACCAAAACACTTAAACAATCAGCTGCTCTCTTTGTCAAACTCTCAAAAACACGAAGTCGATAGCAGCTGAACAGGTTGCTTTCGTACATGAGCTCACACGGACAGCCTTTGCTCATGTAGACGCGAACCTCGCTGAGCGTAAACGTTTGCGTGTGTTGGTAAACGCATGGAACTCACTAACACACCCAAAGGCAGCGCCGCTCTCTGCGCTTCACACAGATCACATAGAGTCTCTGAATTGAGCGTAAAATGTGCGTTCGTATTGCGATTTGTATGGCGCTCACTAATACCATCAAAGCAACTGCTGCGCTCTTCTTTTATCGGCTCTCTGTTTATGTTTTGCTGCGATCGGAATTCAATTTGCTTTATGAATGAATTTTTTGTGTGTTTATTTGTGCTTAAATAGAATCAAAATGTTGTTTTAAACTAAGTGCTAAATATTTAAATTAATGTTATGGATAATTAGAGTTGCGAATAGCTTGACTCATGCACCACCATGGATGGCTGAATATCGCGCAGTGTGGGGCAGCCAGCTAGCTTCATGGTGATCTCAAGATCGTGCCGCATAATCTGCAGCAGTTGCTCCACGCCGCGCTGCCCGTTGGCGGCCAAGCCCCACAGCGCCGGGCGGCCTATGAAGACGGTCTGGGCGCCCCGGGCCAGGGCCTTGAATATGTCAGTGCCCTGCATAATGCCGCCATCCAGCATGACCACCAGATCTTTGCCGACGGCGGCCACAATCTCCGGCAGGGCCTCAATTGTCGCGGGCGCCGTGTCCAGCTGCCGTCCGCCGTGATTGGAGACAATGATGCCGGCGCAGCCGAAATCGCGAGCCAGTTGGGCATCCTCCGCGGTGAGGATGCCCTTCAGCACAATGGGCAGCTGGGTGAGCTGCTGCAGCCACTTGATGTCCTGCCAGGTGATGCTCGGATCGAATTGGCTGGCCACATACTCGTTCAGGCCGGAGCCGCCCAACTTGGACACGAAGCCCTGCTTGGGCTCGTCCTGGAAATTGGCCAGGCACAGATGCGGCGGCAGGCTAAACTGATTGCGTGCATCCGCGCGCCGATCCCCATTGATGGGCAGGTCCACGGTCAGGACGAGCGCCTTGAAATGGGCCAGCTCCGCGCGGCGCACCAGCTGCTCCGTGAGGGAGCTGAAAAATGGACGCGAGTTGGGATTCAGTTGGAAATTTAAAGCCGGGATGGACACTCACCGATCTTTGTAGATGTAGAGCTGAAACCATTTGCAGGTCTCGGGCGCCGCCGCGGCCACTTCCTCTATGGAGCAGGTGGAGAGGGTGCTCAGGATGAATATGGAGCCAGCCTGGCCGGCGGCGCGTGCTGTGGCCAATTCCCCGTCCGGATGGGCCAACTTCTGCATGGCCGTCGGCGCAATGCCCAGTGGCCAATTTAGTTGCTGGCCCAGAATCTTACAGCTCGTGTCCAGCTGCGAAACATCGCGTAGGCAACGCGGACGCAAACGCAATCTGTTTGGGAAAATGTGGATTATATTCTGGAGATGGGTCTTATGTGGATGGGGTAGATGTGCACCTTTTGTAGGCGTCACGGTTCAGACCCAGGGTCACCTGCTCCCCGGCGCCATTACTGTAAAAGTCCAAGGCAGTTCGTTCCAGCTGCTGCTTGGCCCTTTGCTCAAAGTCGGCGACACAAATCAGCGACATGGCTTCGATTTATATATTATATTGATATAGATTTTATAGCGAGATTTATGTATAAGCTGTTTAACCTTCAGTTAGCTGCTGTTTTGCTCTCTGAGCGAAAGTCGCGCCAAATGCTCGCTTTTATACTCATATCAGCCGGATTCCGGCTGTAATTGGGATGAGACGGACGCAGCCGGCGCTTATCTCACATATTTACTTGTGTGCACATAAAAAGTGTAAATATAATAAAAAAAATTAGTGTAAATATATTACAAATATTATAGATATGCAGTCAACAATTAATATGCCATATGGATGTATATCAAAAATATATTTCTCATTTTAAAAATATTAAGAAATTATTACAAATCAATAATAAGTATTTGAAAAATATAAAAAATATAAGTATATATATTTAAATATTTAAAAGAGGGTTATAATTAAGTAATAAATATTAGAAAAATGTAAATTATGTAGACACAGAGTAATATTATATTTAAATAATAAATATTATTAAAATATATATAGTATACGTAGAAAAAAATACATAGATCATAAAAAGTTATTTAAAAGTAATCAATAATATGGAAATATAAATAACATAGACAAAAAGTAATATTTTATATAAATAAAATATATTATAAAAATATTAGAGTATACGTAAACAAAAAATAAATATAATAAATAAAATACCAGCAATATATATTGTTATTAATAAGCAATAAATATTATAAAATATAAAGCATGTAGACCAAATATTAATTTTATAAATACATATTATATAAATAAATACTAAACAAATATTGTAAAAATATGCAAAGATTTAAAAATTAATTTAATTTAAAATAAAAAGTAAATATAAATTGTAAAATTAAAGACTATTTTTGGCAGGCAAATAAAAAATAAATATAATATACATATATTAAAAATAACTTTTCTTAAATAAAACTTCATTATTAATAGTATACATATATATATATATATATAACACTTATATATATGATTTTAAATTCGATTGGCGCATCTTTTAATTTCTTTGAATAAATTTAAATACATCTTCTGTTAACTTCACAAATCTCAACTAACACAGCTAAGCTACAACAAAACTAATGGCAATAACTTTGTCAGCTCTTGAAAACCTGTCCAATTAGCTGTAGACCTCAATAATCAACTGAGGCAAAAGCCGCTTTGAATGGAAGAACCTGCAAGAAAACATAAACAGAGAGCCGAAAAAAGAAGAGCGCAGCAGTTGCTTTGATGGTATTAGTGAGCGCCATACAAATCGCAATACGAACGCACATTTTGCGCTCAATTCAGAGACTCTATGTGAGCTGTGTGAAGCGCAGAGAGCGGCGCTGCGTTTGGCTGTGTTAGTGAGTTCCATGCCTTTACCAACACACGCAAACGTTTACGCTCAGCGAGGTTCGCGTCTGCATGAGCAAAGGCTGTCCGTGTGAGCTCATGTACGAAAGCAACCTGTTCAACTGATTGCGACTTCGTGTTTTTGAGAGTTTGACAAAGAGAGCAGAAGAATGTTTATAAGTATTGGTGTATTCCATACAAATTACCAATACTAATTTGAAATTACGCTCACTCAAGAACCCTATTGCTATAGGTGTGAGCTCTAGACAAATAGGTGCGCTACCACTCGGGTTCAAGCGGGCAGTACTGCACAACTGCAGCTTAAGAATTAACCTAGGGTTAAATTTTGGCTTAAATTATCTTATAAGACTTTGAACCACAACAAGCACATGCGACACCCTGTATGAATATCATATAGGTGTTTCAGGGACAGATTTGAGGCTACACGTGGCCCATCCCGCCGCAGCGCTACCTGCTTGCCCGTTGCCTAACTAGGTTTCTTATCGTCGGGCATACAAATGAGATTGTGGCCTGTTGTTGTGCTGCTTTGCACAAACAAGTCGGAATGGAAAATAACCAGAGAATTTCAAGCGGAACAGAGATTATTGCGTTTTAAATTCCAGACTGAAAAAACAAAATATAAAAAAAAACTGAGCTCACTTTGACAAGGGCTGAGACTGTACTTATTGCCGTTTGTTCCACTTTCAAATGATATTTTCTTCAAATAATAAAGAAGTTGCAAGAGAAGTTTTTTTTTCGACTATTTAATACGATCCTAACTGCTTGGCTGTCCTGAGGCATCTGCGCAGCTTAGGTTGAGTTTGCACGATTAGAACCCGAGTGTACCTACACCTATTTGTCGCAGAGCAAAAGTTGAGAGTAAATTCGCATTAGTATTGGTGTTTTTCATGCAGCACACCAATACACTTAAACAATCAGCTGCTCTCTTTGTCAAACTCTCAAAAACACGAAGTCGATAGCAGCTGAACAGGTTGCTTTCGTACATGAGCTCACACGGACAGCCTTTGCTCATGTAGACGCGAACCTCGCTGAGCGTAAACGTTTGCGTGTGTTGGTAAACGCATGGAACTCACTAACACACCCAAAGGCAGCGCCGCTCTCTGCTTTTCACACAGCTCACATAGCGTGTGGGAATTGAGAGTAAAATATGCGTTAGTATTGCGGTTTGTATGGCGTTCACTAATACCATCAAAGCAACTGCTGCGCTCTTCTATTTTCGGCTCTCTGTTTATGTTTTGCTGCAGTTCGAATTTGTGCTTTGATAAATTGCAGCGGCTTTTTTTTGGTATTACTTGCAAATTGCATTTGGTTATGTCATTTGGCAGCTTGGCAACTGTGTTGGCAACTTTGATTATTTCATCAGTAAGAATTAATATTGCCAGCGAATAACCTGAAACCGATTTGTGTATACACATATAGTATTGATATGTGAGTAGATGCAATAGTTGTTATTTTTATTTGCAGCTGTTTGTTTTTTTAATTCTAAATTTGCGGTAAATACACAAGTGTGCATTGAGAGATATGTATATACAAATATCGGTAGGTGTGTTAGCATGTATATATGTATGTATGCATCCTTGGGCTTATGGCAAACACAAACACACATACACACACACAGTTGCGTATAATATTTGTATACCAGATAAGGCCGCGCTTGACAACGTTGCGCGAGCCGCTGCCCGACCGGTCTCTCGCTCGCTCTGCCTCTCGTTCGCTCTGCCTCTTGCTCGCTCTGTCTCTCTCGCTCGCACTGCCTCTCGCTCGATCTGCCTCTTGCCTTGTCGATCTTAATTCTCCACCTCATTCGCGCGCTGTGGGGTGTATAAAAGGCCGCGCCTCCGTCGAGTTGTCATTCAGTCGACTTCCGATATTCAGCGACAACACAAGCAACAAGTGAAAAGTTTTCGTTCTCTTTTTGAAAATATTCAATAATTGAAAAATAACAAAAATGCGTCTGGGCCAGACTATGCCAAACTTCAAGGCGGAGACCACCAAGGGACCCATTAGCTTCTACGAATGGCAGGGCAACTCGTGAGTATTACACATACCCTATACATGTATACATATATATAGTCTATTTGATCTTTACTCAAACCTCCTCCACTTTCCCTGCAGCTGGGTGGTGCTCTTCTCACATCCCGCCGATTTCACGCCCGTTTGCACCACGGAGCTGGGCCGCATTGCGGTGCATCAGCCGGAGTTTGCGAAGCGCAATGCCAAGTGCCTGGCGCACTCGGTGGATGCCTTGAACTCGCATGTGGATTGGGTTAATGACATCAAGTCCTATTGCCTGGACATTCCCGGCGAATTTCCGTATCCCATTATTGCTGATCCCACACGCGATCTGGCCGTCTCCCTGGGCATGCTCGACGAGGAGCAGAAGAAGGATCCCGAGGTGGCCAAGACAATACGCGCTCTGTACATCATCAGTCCGGATCATAAGGTCCGCCTCTCCATGTTCTATCCCATGAGCACGGGCCGCAACGTTGAGTGAGTAGAAGGAGACATTTTTTCTTTGCATTCAGATTTATTTAATACCCTTCCTTCCGTTTGCACAGTGAGATCTTGCGCACCATCGATTCGCTGCAGCTGACCGATCGCTTGAAGGTGGTTGCCACGCCCGCCAACTGGACTGTGAGTATATTATATCATTTTTTGTTGAGCTTTCATTAAACGCATACTTTCTGTGCCCACTGTAGCCCGGCACCAAGGTCATGATCTTGCCAAGCGTCACCGACGAGGAGGCCCACAAGCTCTTCCCCAAGGGCTTCGACAAGGTCTCGATGCCATCGGGCGTTAACTATGTTCGCACCACGGAGAACTATTAATTATTCAACTTCTGGGGCCAAAATTACGCACTACTTATTACATTTAAATTTTATAATTATCCAAAGTTTCTTATATAGTTTTTGTGTGCATTAATAAATTAGCATTTACTTTTTTATACAAATTTAAGCTTTGTTTATTTGTTTTCTATTAACATATTGATTGTTAGTCAAGTCAGGTCGAAAAGTGCATTATAATCGAACTCGACATTGAATGCACTTGCCTGTAGGCTCTGCCAGTGCTGCCCATTTAGCCTCTTAGCTGGCAAATCTGGCTTTTTTGTAAGTGCAACTGCGAAAGTTGAAATGTATGTGTGTTTTTTTTATAGTTTTTAGCTATATTTACTTATTATTAAGTTATGTTTCCTGCTTCAGGGTAAAGGTTTGTTACGAGTGTATCCATAGCTTGTAAATTTTTACACCTGGCTTTTATATGCTGATAAAGATAAGATAGAGCTATAAGCCTCATGCACTTTTTATTAACCATTTTTTTCTTATTATTTTAAAGCTATATTTGTTTTTCATTTTTGGTATTACAATATAAAACTTATAAATTAAAAAAAATATAATAAATATAATCATATAATAAATTATAATATGAAATTACTGAAAAAAAACAATTAAATTGAAATTATTTATATACTAACTAAATTTGTTGCTTATTATTCATCTTTAATTAGATTCACACACATATTTTTATAATTTAAATATTTATCAATTATTTAAATTACAGACTACTCTTAATATTTCTGTGAGTAACCAGCAAAATTAAATACGCCTTACATTTAATTCATTTAACATAATATAATAAATAATTGCCTGAATTTGGCTTAAATAACACATATTAAACAATTTAAATTTAATTAAATTAAATTATACTATTAAGCTAATTTATTGTTGCAAAACGAGCATGCACTCGGACTATGCCCACTATTTTTACCGGCAGTGTAAAGCTTTTGCCAAAGCTTAACGCTTTGACTGTTGTAACGTTTGGCGCGCTGCTGTTTCTGATAAGCATAACAACAACGGCAGCAGTAGCAGCAGCAGCAGCAGGCGCAGCAACAAGAACAACAACCACAACTTTACCGTTAACGGCGATTCTTCACCTACGCCGCTTGGCGCTGTTTTCGCTTCTGTCTCAGTTCTAATTGAGCCTCGCGCGCGTTCGGTTCGCAACTCTGGCAAAGAAAATAAAATTTAATAGTAACGGTAACGGTAACGGTATTCGTTGTATATTTTGTGTGTTCCTTTTCGGTATTTACATTTGTCGAAACAATTTTGTGTGTTCGCCGCTGCCGCTGCCGCTGTTGCTGCCGTCGCCGCTGCCTGTTGGGCCCAATTGTCCGTTCTTTGATAAACGTCGCGTGTGCTCCCCTTCAGCTCCCCTTCGACGAGTGTGTTACTGTTAATGTGTATAAGTTTGGGAGCTTAACGAAAGGAAGGCACATAAAATGCCTGCACATAACGGTGCCTAAGTGATCTGATCGTTTATGCGTGTCGTGTCGTGTTTTTTCTTCTTTCACTTTTATCCACATCTCGTTCTCGTTCTCTATCAATGCCAAAAACTACGAAATTTAATGTGAAACGGGCCGTAAAAAAGTTTTGTGTCCATGCAGCAAATGCAGCAACAACAACAACAGCAACAACAACAAAAATCAGCCAAAAAGTTTGCTGTTGTCAAAAGTTTTGATGACTTTGCGCATAAAATATGCTGGCAACATTTCCATCTTTGGCAGCAAAGTGTTAAAGAGCCTTAAAAGGTAAAAGATTTTCCCCTACCCACTCTGTGAATAATGCATTCAATTATCCCACTAACAAAAAGATAAGAATAAATAAAAATCATATAAAACAATAAGCGAAGCGCTGCACGACAAGAAAATATGTTTTTCTTCCTTTGCTGTTGACTTTTGTTGTTTTTCTTTTTTTTCGATAGTCTGCTTTACCCATGTCCCTAGGGTCTCTCGGGCCTCGAACTCATTTAGCTGGCATGCAGATAGATGGCGACAATATTTGATTGGTTTCTGCATTTGCCGTTAAAGGAAATGAAACTTTATTGATTCACCGAAAGTTGGAGCAGGTTAAGAGCACTTCGTAAACTTTTTGAAATTTGATGTTCAAAGCGAACCCATGCGAAAATCAATTAAAAGTAAAGTATTCGAAAAACCCTTTTTTTAATCCGTTTTATAGAGTGTTTTAGGGGTGACAAAAGAATTTTTTAAAGTATATATTTAAATTTCATTTTTATTGGGAAAATATGTCAATTCCAGATTTTAGAGAGCATTATGCTATACATATATATTTATATATTTAAAATAGTTTTGTTAAAGGTAAAAATATTTAAAAATAAATCGTTTTTTTTTTTCAATTAAATTAAAAGTGTAATTTTAATTTGTAAATTTAAATAAATTGATTTTATTTGTTGGGAACATAAATATTTTATATATGAAAAAGTTTATTAATTTATAAACATGATCGAAAGTTCTTTTGCAATTAATAAAAAAAATATAAATAAAAATGTTGTAAACAGAAAGGTCGCCAAAAAGCCAAAAATATATAAATAAATAATATAATAATATAATAAAAATATATATTACAATAAATAGAGTCGAGGCAGCTTTATTGAGGATTTATAATTTAAGTGCAAGGGCTAATTTTTTTCAGTTTTTTTTTATAATATAATATTATATTTATATAATTTTTTGGATGCGTACAAAGAGTTCAGTCATTTTAATTGCTTTTAATTTAACAAATGATTATTTATTATTTTTATTTCATTTTTCAATAACACAAATTTGAAATTATCGGATTAAAATAAATTGTTGTAGAGAAAAGAAAAAGAAGAAGAACACACAAAATTAAAAAATTAACATTTAAATGAAATACCACATTTTGAATTTATTTTAAGAGCTGCCCAATATTTAATTTCTAAATAATTTTCTCATGGAGTTGATTGCCGAACAAAATTGGCAGCATTTAGAAAAGTCATGAAATTTGTAATCAATGCAAAAAGTTGAGCTTAAATTGGGATATATTGCGAGTTGACTTGACCGTTGTGTGGAATTAGTTACAATTTTGAGCGAGTTTTGGTAAAATGATTTATTGTGCTTGATTAAAATATGTGCCGGAGGTTGATTTAATCTTCGGGCAACCTTTCAACAAAGTGTGGGCCGCAAAATGCCGCAAATTGAGGAACCTTTCTCATATTTAATGTCTCAATTAAATTGACATTCACACACACAAAATGGTTCAACTATTTGACCTTTATGCGGCCCAAATTACAAAACAACCAAAATACCAAAGATAATGCCAACACACACACACACACACACACACACACACACAGACAAGCATGGCAAACAAAAGCTAAATAAATAAATATTTAAATATAATTTAAAGCTTATAAGGGATAATAATTTGGAAAAGTTGAAAATCAGCCTGGCTGCTAAATTGTAGACAAAGTGAGGGAGGGAGAAGTTGGCCGACAGAGTGGAGTGGGGGGAGGGGTGCACAGCTATGGAGGCGGGGCTAAGTTGACTGTAAACAGCATTAGTCTTAAATATTAATAAACTTATTTTTTTAATATTTTTTTCTATTAAAATTTTGGCGCCGCGTTTTGCCAACTGACACTTTATGAAATGTTAATTTTAATTAAGAGCCGGAATGAAGGATGAAAAAAAGCAGTTTAGCGAAAGAGCGAGAATTAGAGAAAGGGAAGCTTAAAAATGGCAACAATGATAAAAAAAAAAAGGAGACGGAAACAACAGAAACAATGCGAAAGGAACAGCAGGTGAGAGAGCTAGCTGAGCAGCTCAGGGGCTGAAAGGATGATGAAGTGAGCATGGAGGTGCTTAAGGAGATGGTGATGATGATGTAAGGGGGGGGGGGGGAGTTGGGTGCGTGGTGGGAGGCGGTTATTTCACGGAAGTGTAGAGCGATGTGCGCGCGAATTTGCACGGCCATTGTTGAAGCTGTTGTTGCATAAAGCGGGTCAAGTTTTTCTTATAAAATATTCCAAGTGCTTGACAAGTCGCCAACAACAACAACAAGGGGAGGGGCAGCAGCGGCAGCTGGGACTGTGCGTGGCGCCACCGCGACTTTTGCGGTCTGCTGCGCGCTGCTTGGGGAGGCCTTTCGGATCATCTAACCAAACAACATGCTGCTCAAAGGCGCACAAGACCAGCCACAACTGACGGCGACTTCTTATGGCAAATTGTCAGACAAAGAACAATAAAGCCCAGAGGCCTCCACGTGCAGGTAAAACAAAACATCGAGTGTGAAACCAGAAAAAACCATATAACGAATATTGGATACACTCTCTGCATTGTACTCCATCTGATAAGAAATAGCTCAACTTGTTTGGAATCTGTTAAAATTTCTAATATTGATACAGCTTTCAGATTTCTCGTTGTTAACAAAATAATTTCATCAATATTAATGTTTTTAAGAAATTTAAAAATGTTTAGCCCTGATTTTATATACTTTTTTTAACGAATTTTATTTTATTGCTTCTAAATTTATAAGAAGAATCCCATGTTGATCTGAAATGTTCAAGATCTTGTTTACTCATATTAATAACTTCAAATATATCGCAAATGTTCCAAAGTCTAATCTTCTGCTTTTGTTTTGCAACTGTAACAAAATAGTTGTAAAAAACTAGCGGGAATTACCGTATTGGATGTACACTCACAAAGATCTTCGAAAATGATTTAGAAGTCGATCATTGGCAAACTGTTTTTGCCCTTACATTCATTTTCTTTGTTTCAAATCAGGATTCAATCAGCATTTGGAATACCGAAAACTATCGATAACATTGTTAAAGCCAGCTATCGACTTGGGCACTATCAAATACTTTTCCAGCACTAGTTAGCGGCACTTGCTTTGAAGTGTTGCACAACATTTGACATTCAGCAAATGCCCAGTCTAAAAGTGTTTAACATTCGGGGACAGAAAGGCAAGGATAGGCACAGGTTTTCGTCTCGTCTACGCTCACAAAGAACTGGCTGTGGATGTTGATGAAGATGAAGAAGCAGATGATGGAGGCAGGGGCCAAGGGGATACGCGAAAGGCTTATGGGAGAGCGACAAGAAAATGACAGGAAACAGAGTACAAAAACTCGGCTAGGCAATTATTGTTGATGAATATGTACGAAATATGAACAGAAGAAAAGTATTTCTCCCCCTTCCCCCCTTAGGCAGCTCCGCCCCTCGCCGTGGCTAAACACGCGAAAGTTTTCTTTGGCATTTCGGTTTAACAGACACAAAATAGGTTGAATATACAATGCGAGTAATGAATGGGATAGAATGGGTAGAAGGTTGGTTTTTCGAAATGTTAGCGCCGCATGAAATACAATAATTTGTTATCTCTCCCAGGCTCAGCTGTGAGTCCTGCAGTGTCCTTTGACCCGCGCAGTCTATAAATCAAAATATGTTTCACACGCGCGCGTGTGTGTGTGTGTGTATGTGTGAAACACATAATTAAGGCATTAGATAGATGGCCAGAAAAACACATTTACTCTCATATTTTGGTCGGCCGTCTGCGCCCTTTTTTCCTTCCAATTTTTTTATGTATTTTTTTTGCATTTCGCATCATAAATAATGATTAGAAAATTAAATTCGTGTACCCTACATTTGGGCACGTATTGATGGCGAACCTTTGTTGTCTTTTAATTTACAGCCAACGACCAGCGGAATTTAATTAAAAATTCGTTTCAAATTTGCGTCCATTCGATTTTGACACATGCACAAATATAATTGGATAAAAGCCAAACAAATGTGCTGATGCGCCTATTTTTAAACAATTAGTTAATTGAATAATTGCATTTTAACTAAATATTGCGCCAGCAGCAAATATTTGCCACTTTCTATAAATTTTCATTTTCGTTTCATGTATTTATTTGTATTTTTAACTGCTCGCCATAATTTAAAACACATTTGCAGACAAATCTGTTCACGAGCTTCAAGGCACAAATTAAACGTTAACCATCGCGGTTAGAACATTTAGTGTACCCTGTGACTATAAGATGGCTGGGAAGGGTATTTAAAATTAGGAGAAGCAAAGTGTTTTATATGATTCCATTAGATTAAATAAATATATATTGTATATGACCAAGTTGAGTCTGATCCGTCTGCTGATCTGAGAGACTTTAATATTTAAAAAAAAGTAAAATAAATCTATAAAGATATTTCAAATTAAATTTTCTTAGATACAATGTTTTTTATTGAAATTTTTTTTTTTAATTTTATTTTCTTTGCTTAGCTTTTAAAAGCTTTTAACGTAATTTAATTTGCGATCATCATGGAATAGCTATTATCAAAATATAAATATGAGAATTAGAAAATATATTATAAAATATATAATATTTCAATATGAAATCATTAAAAGAACTCTTGTAAGAGTTACATATAAAATATATAAAAGAGTTTTTTAAAAATATATAAAATTTGTGTAACTTTCACAAGAGTCTTTTCTCAGATATTCTATATTTATTAAGATGAGAGTCAAATTGAAGTTATATACTTAACTTCATTGCAGATATTGTCGTGATATTACTATACTTTATTCTACTATATACTAACTATAGGTATGGAAAGTCATTACCTTGCATTAAGAGAAGCTTAGACTTAAGAGATTTGAGACCAAGTCTTGAAGGGCCAGAGGCACCAAATTTGGACTGTAAACTCTCGTACGCCATAAACAGACCGAGAATATTTCACTCTATAATTTGTAAATTCTCGATTTGTGGCCAAAATGTAATTATCATAGCTCATATATAACCTATACATATATATAATTGATAAATTCCAGATTTTTTTTTGCTGACATTCGGCGCATATTAATTGTAGCAGCTAAAACTTAATTATGCCCGAGATTTGCTTGAGAATTAATGCGACGCGTCAAACTATAAATATAATTGAAAAACTAATTTGAAAATTGCTGCCAGAACCTTCTGCTCCGCTGGCTAATTACAAGCTAGGCGCAATTTTCAGCCGGCGAACGAGACAAATGAGCGCTGCCCAGGGGAGGCGGGGGGAGGAGGGGGGGGGGGGTAGGGGTAAGGGTTTTGGTAGGCGCAACAGGCAGCTGCTCGGCGCAAATTTGCTGTAACTAATTAAAAACGCTTTAAGCCCCGAAATATTTTATGGGCCAAATGCAATAACGGAAAACACGCAAAAATTTTTGGGGACTCAAAGGCGCCAATCTAATTAATGTGCCGCACCAAACGCAGCCGGCAGAAATGTATTTGCGCGAGGATCACAAGGACGTGCACCTGGCCGGGACACTAGATGCTCTGTGTGTGTCTGTGTGTGTAATTGCTGAAATTTTTCACAACAGGTGGGAGGGGGGGGGCGGGGCGGAAGGGCAAACGAAACACGTTTTGAAGTGGCATCGCAATTTGTTTGCCACAGCCTCCTCCGGCTAAGCCGCGGCAGATGATTTGATAACGCAGACAGCAAAAATAATCAGAAGGGGGGCCCGCCACGGCCGGCAGCGGGATTTATTGAAGTGGACTCCACTTGGTCAGACATTCCGCTCTCAGCCTGTCAGTCAGTCAGCCAGCTGGTCTGCTTGTCCGGCTATTTATATGCGAGTTTGTTTTGTCTGCTTTGTTCTTTAGTGGTTCGTATTGAAGAGAAAGAAGAAAAAATACTTGATTTGACATTGATTTGTTTGCCAGCCTCTGCTTTTTTTTTCCCCTCTGTTATCAGGATTTGCTATGAAAATAAATAGATTTTTTGTATTCAACAGAGCTAATGCTTAAACTCAGTTATGTGCGTGTTGCCTGCACATTAGCGTGTCAAGCATATATTATTGGCAATTTCCGAAGGCAATTAAATAACTATGCTTAACCAAAATTCACCTGACAGAAAAAATTGATGTTTCTTATGCATAATTTAAGGAGTTTGTGTAGTTGTATGTAAATTAGTTGCCCGCTCTCACTCCGCCCCTTTTTTCATTTCTAAGTATCGCCTTTCTATGTGATTCTCATAAGGCAATTGTTTGTTTTTTTAGTGAAAAGTCTCCCTCTCTCCTATACTTACTTTATTTGAACTAGACTTAAGTCTAATTTAAGCACAGTATTCCATTAAATTAATTTGTATTTCTTCCCACCTGCTAGAACCGTATTGACCAAGTGCTTAAGAGTAGCCACGCCCGCTACGAATGTGAGATGGCAATTGTAATCGATTGCAATTGAAATTGAATTGCATATTCAATAGAGTCGATTGGACGAAGAGGCGGCAGCACACGCCAGGCGCCAAGGTGTAAGCCTGGTGCAAGATATTCGCCAATCTGTGGACGCGTCTACGTTCGCCACGGCCCAATCGGGCCAGTGGCGGCGGCTATCTGCTGACGGGGACAAGTGCGACACGCGAGGATGAGCTGCTGGGCGTGACAGGACGCAGGAAGCGGCTTGAAGTAACGCCCGATGATTGGCGCCAAAACGATGCGGCCACAGCTGCTCCAGCTGGCAACGAGTGTTTAATTAATGTGACGGACTTTAGTGATTTTCAAGAGGCTATTGAAACTGAGCGCCGAACGCTGGAGACAGCCAACGCATTGCGAGTGCCGAGCATAACGACCACAAACATCAACAACAACATAACCAACAACAACAACATCACCAACAACAACATCAACAACATAAATAACAACAACAACATGTCACGCATTTTACAGCCTCGCTACCGTTTTCGTGATCTGCTGCTGGGCGATTTCTCTTTCAACGATGACGGCGAAAGGTAAGTGAATACTCAACGTCCCGTTTACTAATTGTGCCAGGGTATGTTTTATTTTTATTTTTTTTATTTTGGGCCCAAGCACACAGGCAGCTGTGACCACTTAAAACAAGTGCTTCAGCCCAGCAAATATCATAATTACATATATATATATATTGCGCATACGCCTAGGCGACAGTTGACAGCAGCTGCTAACATCGACTTTTTATGCTCTCGCAGCGAGTTTTTGTCATTTTGCCAGTAAATGTGTAACGCATTTTAAATGGTTTAGCAATTATTATTAAATATGTTAACTATTCTTATAAACTATCTATGATTCGAGCGCGTACGCTTAATGTTGAGGCAGCTCATCTAACTAAGGCTTTATATAAATTGTATATGTGCATATTAGTTGCACATTTATATTATTTACGCACATTTATTCAACCATATATAGTGATTTTTAATTATCCTTAATTGATATTTAATACCGATTTATTTTGTTGTTGCCCCTTAATTTTTTAGCACTGAGATATATTATTTAAAATTTTCACATTATCGGAAATTTATATTTATTTTTTACTAATTGATATTTGATAGGAAAAACCAATTTTTATTATGTTTATTTTACAAAAAAAAACCCAATTTATTTAATTTATCTCTTGAGTCAAGTATTCATCACGCACTCAAAACAATTTTTCCCATAGAAAATGAAAAATATTTTTCATTTATGGTGATTTTTGCAAGATCGAGGAAGGGTATTAATAAGTGCGTTCTAAGCCAACCGATTCCTTGGCCTTTTTCGTTCTATTTAATTGCAATTAAATGCGAACTAAAAATAATGTTAATTGCATTCGCTAACTGCACAAACAGGCTGGGCCAGTGCCTAAGTATTCATATACATAATTTATGACACTTGTCGGCAAATCGATTTATCGATTTTTACTTGACATGCTTACAGGGGTATTGCCAGGGGGAGGGGGGGGGGGGAACAAGGGGGAGAGAGAGGGAGTGTATTAGTTGGACACAGCTCGTGTGCAGCTGTGTAGTGTACTGACGCGCCTCGGTTCAATAATCGCGCACTTTTGTCTTCAATTATTTACCAGCTGTAAATGGCAAAATGTGTCCTGGCGTGTCCTGGCCTGATATGGTTTAAAACGCGTTACCCTTGGCGATGACCCACACGAATGGATGACTGAACAATCGAAATGCAAATGAATGAATGGCAGAATCGTCGATTTTCCCGACTACGTGTCTGACAGCCGATTGGCTGATTTGAAAAGGGTCAATTGTTAAATTAGTCAGGCAGATAAATGAATTCAACAAATTCAAATTAACTTTCAAAAAGCATGCTTGGGCTTTAAGTGGGAAAGATTAAGAGCAATAAAGCTCACTTAATTATCTAGCTTTTGAACAATTTAAACATTAAATTTAGTAAGTAAACTGTTTGAAATATTCAAGTTTAATTGAAAAGTACATTAAAACTTTAGGCTGAACAACATTAGTACTTAAACACGAGATTAAGCTCACTTAAGTATTTAGTTTGTCAACAATTTAAAGAATTTAATTGGTATTTGAAAGATCGGAAAAATTAAGTAAACTATCAAAGCTCATTAAAGCTTAAAGCGAAAAAATTGTAAATTAAAGGTCTAGCTTTTGAACAATTTAAACATTAAATTTAGTAAGTGAACTGTTTGAAATATTCAAGTTTAATTGAAAAGTACATTAAAACTTTAGGCTGAACAACATTAGTACTTAAACACGAGATTAAGCTCACTTAAGGATTTAGTTTGTCAACAATTTAAAGAATTTAATTGGTATTTGAAAGATCGGAAAAATTAAGTAAACTATCAAAGCTCATTAAAGCTTAAAGGGAAAAAATTGTAAATTAAAGGTCTAGCATATGAACAATTTAAACATTTAAATCTTAAAAAGAATACTAAAACTGTATTTAAACTCGCTTTAAGTGGAATTGGCAACTAAACATTTTCAAAAATTCAAGTTAAATTCAAAGCACATTAAAGCCTCAAAGAGAGTAGGGCCAAACGCGTTTTGTTTTTATGTTAAAAATGAATATTTAAATGTTTTAATTTACTACACAATGTCTCAGAGTTTTTAGTAGACTTTTGATTAAGACACCTTCTTTAATCAGCTAATGTCATTGGCTACAAAGTTGATTATTTGCCTTCGCATATTCGGAACTACAAATAGAAACCAAAAAATTAATCCTTAGAAGCACTTTTGATTGTACTTCATGCCATTCCCATCAATTTAAGTGTCAGCTCAACGAATTTCCATGCATGTGCATAAAACAAATCGATATTCACAGATTTTATTTGGATTCTATTTCAAAGTGCAATCGATGTCATAAAAGAAAGAACAAAACCAAAAACAAAAAAAAAAAACACACAATTAGAAATGCAATGCGAAAATCCCAAAACAAAAATTCATTTTCATTCCCTTTTGTTATATTTCCACAATTCCCACATGTGTGTGTGCGTGTGTGTGTGTGTGTGTGTGGCTCCATTGTTGGCTGGGTCAACAGTGTGGAAGTCCTTTTAGTTCGTACGAGATTAAAGTGGCTGGAATCCAAAATATAAAGTGAGAAATTTAAATCTAAAATTGAAAACTGATTTACAATTTATTTTTTTTTCTTTTATTTTTATTATTATATAATAATTATTTTCATACGAGAATAAAAAAATATTATTATTTAATGATTATTATTTGAATGTGGAAATTGTGTACTATATATTTTAAAACTATCGAAATATTTTTTTACCGAAAATAGTTTAAGAACACTTTTTAGCTAAGAAATCTATTGCCAAATGAAAAATAAAAACTTATTTTTATTATTTAGAATACCAGATTAATTTTATGTTTACAATCAGTTAAAATTAATACATATATGGTATGCAATATTACCAAAATAGGTAAAAATAGCTAAACAAAGTTTTAAACATATCATGGCCCCAGAACTGTTAAAGAATTAACAGCTGTTAAGCATTCTTTCAGATTATTCTGGCAGCATTGTATTAACATACTAACACTCATTCTGTAATTGAGTATTTGATCGTTTTTTTGTACTCATGTTTCAGTTTCTATCTCTATGTGCAACTCAGGCACATTGGAAATGTTCTAACAAAAACTAATTCCAAATGATACACATAATTTTTTAAGTCTTTTTCTGCTTAGGTTTTCCTATAACGTATTAATATGCAGACGTATATATATGAGAGTTATTACAATAAAAGTTTTTCAAATAACAATATGAAGCGCCTACATATAACAATTAAAGTATAATTACAATCGCGATCTAGCAACACCGAAACATTTAACATTCATTAGTATATAAGCTCTCAAATTAGTTACCGGAAATGAGTTGGTAGCTTAATGGAATTTAATGGTTCAATAATCCATTGTCATATTGTCATTAGCTCGTTTAGTCATTTATCTTGTGGTCAACGCGATGAACACAACCAAAGTATATTATTTGGCATTATTGTGCCATTTGATTTGGCCGCAAGCCGCAGCCAAGAGGGAGGTACATACATATATAGAAAGCATTTGGTATTTAAAAATAAATGCATGTCTCTTTCATTTTATTTAACAGTTGTACATTAAAAACAACTTGAAGCTGGATATAAAATCAATAGTCTTGAATTGTGATGATGATTTTGTCCGGGATTGCCAGCAAGTGCCTGGTATCTCGCATATGTTCAGCTTCAAGCCAACCAGACAGGTGGACAGCTTCTTTTTAGACATCCAAGTGAAATCGCAGACGGCAGAACGTGTTCTCTTTGAGCTGCAATACAAGAATGCCTGTCGATTTCTCAATAATCCGCTTATAAACAAAGTCTTCTCACGCATTTACAACGATGTTGTGGTTAATAATTCCTACTTTAAGTGTCCCATCAAGCCGGGCACTTATTACATCAGCAATAAAGTTACAGCTAATGTTATATCCTTTCTACATCCTGTGGGCAGATATCGCTTAACCGTACGCATCGAAACATCGCATAGCGAGGTGCCTTTTATTATGGAAATTGTTTGCAATTATAATATTGTTGCTGTTAAATAAAACAAATTTTAGTATAATTATATTACTAAGATTACGAGCATTAATTTCAAAGTTAACACACATATTTAACATGTTGTCAAACTAAAGCTCGTTAATTTATGCTTTTGTCAGCAGCTCCTTTAGTCGAATATAAACAAGCAGCTCATCTACATGTTAAATATCTGACAGCTAACCTAGCAACAGAGTTGCCACCTTGCGCTGCACTGTCGGCATCTAACAAGAATTTGTTTGTGCTTGTCGGAATATAATATCTAACATTCAACATATTGGAAATATGTCTGATCAACTGAATTTTAAATAATGCTAAAATGTGGTTTAATATTTCGTAGGTAAAAAGAAGAAATCATTTCTTGATTTCGGCTAACAACTGTACGTTGCCAGCTTCACATAAACTTAACATATTCCGGCGCAACACAATTTACCATCTCTTCAACTAACATGAACTTTAACAGGCGAACAGGGGCTGTCTGTTTTACAGAATTTTTAACAGAATCTCGACGAAACACAATTTAACATCTCT